ATCTTCTTTAGCCTCTCCATTCTCTTCGCACTTGAGTAATGATTGTTTTTTGAAAAAAAAAATCGAAGAGTACTACTGGGTTATTTTTGCAGATCACAATGACCACCATAGGCTATGGCGATGTGGTCCCGCAGACCTGGCTCGGCAGGATCGTCGCCTCTTGCTTTTCGATCTTTGCTATCAGCTTTTTCGCTTTACCGGCGGTGAGTTCGGCTTTAGTGGCATCCTTACGTTCTAATTCACGCTAGTACTTATATTTCCTGTGATTCAATGACCGTTTAGGGTATCCTCGGCTCGGGATTCGCGCTGAAGGTGCAACAAAAGCAGCGCCAGAAACACTTCAATCGTCAGATTCCTGCTGCTGCCACGCTGATTCAGTGCTTGTGGAGATGTCATGCGGCCGACAAGAACATCGCTGCCACCTGGTTTCTGGAGCCTCATTCCTTTTATGGCTTTATCAGCCACTTAACGCTCGATTGTAGGCGAGTGCATGTCGATCCGTTGGCTGGTGAAACAAGCGAGCAGCATCGGAAGCAGAACGGCACGACCAATGAGGACGCCGTCAGTTACAAGAGAAGACTCTTCAAGAAGCAGTACTCCAAGTACGTTCTCTTACTTTGGGATCCAAAAAGAGTGGTTGAGCAGGATGTCTCTATGATGCGCCACTATTCAACCTCTGTGTTAAATCACTAAGGCGTTCGAAGTGCAAAAATTGCTGAACCTGTTCCTGTGAAAAATGAGTTCCCCTTGTCCTCTGATACCTCATTTGGGTGAATTCGGAGGAGCTGGGAAAGACTGGCTTAATCACTTTTCTCCTGCGATCATGCAGGTGCTATGCAGCGCTTCAGCCTCTGGACCAATTTTTATATTGAAGAGACATCTCACAGTTACAAGGTTTATGTAGTGGGGTTCAAATATTGAACGGGAATTGCAGTGTGAGCCTATAATGAAACAACGACTGAAAGGAAGCATTGAAATCTGAGTGAATAGGACCCTGTAATATAATTGACTCATACCATGGTAAGAACTTACCAGAAGTGAGTGTACATATATCCAGACGAGAAACTCTGACGGCAGCGGCACGAGGAAGGACAGAGACAAGAAAGGTGCAGGCATTGTCGGGGTTGTCACGAGAAGTCACCCTACTAGTGTTTGATGGTGCATGGTAAAATCAGTCCTTCACCGCTTTTCGGCACAGCTGATGTCTCCTATCGCTTTTACTAGCTACATGCATTCTCGTTCCACAAGTTTGGCACATTCTGCTCAACTGACCGTGGAAATTCCCTTCTAAACAACCAGCTGGTTGTGTGCAATGCCCAACAAGCGATAGGCACACTCAACATGGTCGTATCGAATCCACCTTGTGAATAATTCCCAGCCTGCAACTGAAGCCGTGCGCATACCGAGCTACCCTTCTAAAAACTGCTATTTGAAAATCGCATACGTTTCTTCTGAATACTTGTTATTCAACGGTTTAAGCACCATGCTCGTTTCAGATCAAGCTTGCTTAACAGCTCGAAGAAAAGCCGCCCCAGCGCTGCAAGCGTAGACTTGGAAATGGGCGAAAGAAAAAAGGACAAGGACAGGAACAGTGACGTGGAGGACGATCGCGTATTTGGCAGTGAGTTCTTGGCAGCCTATTTTTCATTTCGAAACTCGGACAGTTTTCGGAAGCCTCTCTAAACATCTCCTGTTAAGCAGCCTCAGAAACGCGGATTGGATGCACTCGAGCAGGAGGAGAATGACGATAATTCGATGCCAGTGAGAATTGCGCAGTAAGTAGTATTTCTATAATTTTTTTCGGGTTTTTTTTTCAACCTATGGTTATGAAGATGTTTTTGTTCACGCCGGACGAAATGTTAACGAAACTCTTGCAGTATTTGCGACTTAACCAAGCAATACAAAGATGCTATACGAGCAATCAGGAAAATCAAATACTTCGTAGCTAGAAGGCGATTTCAGGTGAGCTGCCTTCTAGTCTTCTGAATCATTAATACATTGTTGCAACTGAAAGTTGTCTTTGTTCGGAAATCAAATTCTCATTTATTAATTCTATAAGAACGGTAAAGTTGTGGTATGTGCGGTGCCGCTACCATGTGCAAAGGTAAGAGGTTGAATCCCAAATCGGATCCAGCCATCCCTGCCTTTTTTGACTGGTGTCGAACTCGTCTATGTATTTGTAGAAAAATTAATGAAATCAATCTTGAAAGCGATCATTCTCTACTTCAGGGTAATTCAATGACTTAAAGGACGAATTCACGCTGGAAAGGCAACCCATTTCAAATTAACTTAGCGATGGTGAGTGGTACACGAAAGAAGGAAGAACCATGAGAAACGGCCCAGAACCCGAGAAATGGGACCCCTTCCTTGCCCGTTGATTTGAGCATTGATGCGACTCTCATCGCTGTGCCCTCTTCAACACTACGCTCTCTCACCTATCTAATCACTCGCCACGTAGACCTGCGGCGAGTGATCAGATGATCGGTGGGCGTGCACTGGCCCACCGCGCCAAGATTGAGCCTTAATAGGTCGCCGAGGTCAACTCCTTCGGTGCCAATTGCGCTTCAGTCCGCACCCTTAGGAGGTCCGCGGGTCCCTCAACTAGGTGAATTACTCCTTCTTCGACCTTCATTCTAATCGTGAATTCGTCCTTTAAAGGCACATCCGGCACAGAGTAGAAATCCTAGCTCAAGCAATGTCCACCCAACGCGAGTTCGGCGCTTGACCAGCAGTGGCTTAAGGCGTAAAGGTCCAGGTGCGCCACCAGAACTGGACATCGCCTTTTCTTCCCCCCTCCTCGACGCCACAGAATTTCTCATGCCTGTGCCCCGTTTGTCTCATTAAAATCCTCACAGCCTCAAGAGGAGGTGCATTAATTTCAGGGCTTTCGATGGATCTTTCCGTTTCCTATTAGAATAACTTGTCGTTTTGCACTTCGTTTACTTTCACGTTTTGAGCCCAAAATATATCGTCCAGTTTAATATTTCGATGTGTCTGTGAAGAATTAGCTTGTTCACTCTTTTGATCATACATGAGAGTTTTTGTATAACTGTACACCTAAGCGGGCGGAAATGATGGCAAGCGGCTCTGCTTACCACGCACATGGTCTTTGGTTCAAATTCTGGGTCGTGCGTCGTCCGAGCCAACAAGCCTCCCATCTCTCTGGCGTAGGTTACTCGGCACCAGACTCGTCTGGGAGGATGAAAACTGACGCTCGTACATCGGTTTGCGCCATCCACGGAGTCTTTCTATTGTGTAACTGCACTCAAGTTGCCACTACTATTCTGAATGGAAGTGGAATGCGTGGCGCACCCATTACTGGAAATGATAAACAACAATGTTTCATCATTCATTTTTATACAGCCATGTGGACCTTCCAAGGGTATAAAAAAAATAATAATCATCGCCGTACTATACCGTCACAGTAACAGCTGCTCCTGCGTAGAAACTATTGACTTTTTATCTCCGATATCCCAGTAAAATCACGAAGCTCAAACTTGCCCTTTTGTGGTTTCTGTTTTGGCTTATGGAAAATAGTTACTTGTAAACATACCAGCAAAGTCACTAACAATAAGCAACTGCCATGATTCCTTATTCCAGCCAGAGCAGAAAACGCGTACGATGTTGCGAGAGTTATTAGAGCAAGTACTCCGAAGGGCACCTTTACATGATTGTCGCGATCAAAGATGCTCAACGGCGGTGAGCTCCTCCTTGGTTGCAAAGCATTTTTTTCAAGATGGGGCAGTAGTTTTCAGACTGGATCAAACTCTGGGAAAACCTGGGCAAGAACCGCGAGCATCAAAAGCAACATGGGTGGGTCGCGCGGAACTCCATCGGGACTGTCCAGGCTGACTTCGGTCATGTGAGAGGCTGCAATTGAGGTTCTCCCCGAAGGATATTCTTGCTCTGCGACCTGCAGCAGTGAGCTCCGCCTTTTTTTCAGCATAAGTTCCTGTGCCGACTCGTCTTCGCACGCCCCGCTTTCTCTAAACGCCTCGGTGCTCTGCGCTCCCCTCCAATCCGAACACCTAACACCCCCCGACCTGCGTGAACCTTCTGACGGCCTTGTGTCGACAGCAGGCCTCCGTTAGCAGTCGAAGGGCCTCGAACACCTCCAACAGCTCGCAGCTCGATCGACCTCCTTCAGCTCGAGACTCGTACTCGCCCACGCTAATGGTCGGCCAGCAGTAACGACGTCGCAATGTCTCCAGAATCCGCGCAATGTTTTTAATAGACACTTTACGGGTAGCCGAGATTGCTTTTGACCATTTTTGTCATAACCATCAAATATCGGCTTATAGTGCCTCCATATGAGATAAATCATTGACGCTCAATGACCATATTGTACATAAGTTAATTATGCCGTTTAACATATTCGCATTCAGTGAGATGATTCAAACGTAGTATTGATTGATCGATTGATTGACTCTGTGATCTCCTGTTGAGTGCTTGTTTGATGTGTTTCTGATAAATTGATCGTCATTGATTTTCATGCAGTTACATGACAGCGGAGCATAAATTTATTTCTGAAAGCTGAGCTTTTAACTATTGGAGTGATTGCACAAGATTCTGAATACCAGAGCTCAAAGCAATGTCAGCGCTTCTGGTAAACATTTACAACTTGCGTTCAGACCTTTGATGCGTCCAGATGCGGCGAGTGCATGTCGGATAATGCAATAACATTCGATTTAGTCCCCTCGCGCAGCGTGTCAAGCGTCAGCGCGCTAGCCTCCCAGGCTGACGCATGGTTGGGGTACGTCCCTAACTGGGCGCGACTGGACATCAATGTGGATCAGCATTATGCTAGCATAGAGACCTCCTTTCTTGCCTTTCTTCCTCACTCTCCGGACAGGCGCAAAGTGAAGCCAACTCAGACAGTGGTCGCTCGACTAGGATGGCATCAGACGGCCTCCGCGACCCACCATCCTGCCTTACCTGCAAGTTAGCTTCCATTTCTTGTTTGAGGTGCAGTCCCAGAATTGCTCACGATTCTCTTGGTGTGGACCCCATGCGTCACTCATCAGTATAGGCAGAGATGGGGTATGCGCTAAAGGCAAACACGCTTTTGAACGATGTTTTTGGCGTCCTGCCTCTTAACAAAGTGGGCCATTGGTTGAGAACCAAAGGTTAGTTGTAACAAAGTAATCAAGCTGTAGCTGTGAAAGAGAAAAGCGGTCTGTGTCTACAGGTCATAGGTTATCTTTCCACACTCCCCGCGGCACATACCGGAAAATACTTGCGCGGGGATTGATTTGAGGACACAGATTTGGCTGAGTTTAAACGGTGGAGAGACGCAGACACGACGAGATAGCATGGGAATGGACTAGAGCACTGGGGCGTGAAAGGGTGCGCTCAAATCAACCGCTAAATAAGGGTACCGCGCGCGGCTTGCCGCAAGTATGAGCGCCGGGATCCTGGGAAATTAACGGTACCCGACAGGAGGCCCGGGCAGGAAGGTAGAGTTACCGGACGAGTCGCAGTGGTGTACAAAGTAGGTACGTTCTATTTGACTGACGCGAATCACTACAGTTTGCGCTGCGACTCCGCTAGTCTGCCTTGCTACATGCGCGATGGGCCTCCTGGTCGGCGTAACTGGATTAATGAACGACAACACTCGTTGAAATTAATGCCAATTCCAGTAGCCCTTTTCTGAAAGAGCCATATTTAACCTCTCAGAATATCGACTTTGCCCCAGCTGTCCTACTCACCGCGCAACTACTAAGAGTGAGTTTTTTTTTACCTCTTTCAAGCGACGTTTACATGGAGGAGCTTTTGTCCCAAACCCACCTCAACGCCTTCCATTCCCTGAAGCCTCACACCTACTCCAGCTAGTCCAAACTCGAATTATTGCAGTGTAGCGTGACTTAAAGGCTGCGATCGCGATGCGTGGACGGCTGTGCGATTCTGGTGGCATCGTTGAAGGCCAGGTGGAAGGCTTCCCAGCGCGCTGGGAATGCGTTTGAGACCGCCTCTTTACCCCTTCCAGCGATAACATTCGATGACGTCATCAAAACCGCGCCGCCCCTCATGATCACTGCTTTCAAAGCAGCTTGCTCATGCGGTAATATTTGGTATACATGGCTCACATCTGTACATTACTCAATGAAACCGAATAAAAACCTTACTATTCCCTAAAAGCCCGAGGGAAAGAAAGAGATAGAAAAGAAAATAGAGGCTGTGTAAATGTCGAAACCGCCAATCACTCAGAAAGTTCAAAAAATAATCACTTCACGACTCCACAAACGTTTACCCTACAGTTAATGACGTCATATTTACAATTTCGAGTACTGTATGAGGCCGTCGGTGAACTTCTGTCCAATGAGGTGCGCGATCAGAGGAAGTCGATCAGAACCAAAGAACGTGTGCTCCTCACCGTCCTTGTGAACAACTATCCAAGGCGCGCCAAAAGCCTGCAGTAAGTGGTAATATGTCAGGTAGCCATGAAGGGTAAACCCAACTTGGGTCAGACTTACCCCGCCGTCCAGAGCAGCATCGCTGTTCTCTTTCAGTTTAGTTGTGGCGTAGTCACTGTCAATTTGATCAATATACTCGGATCCATTTGTTATTCCACTGGCTGTCAGCACCTGCAGAACATTTCTTACAATTCGAAAAATCAAATAAGCTAAATTCTGAAAATACCTCTTCAAAATCTTCACGATCAAATATTCGTTTGCCATTTGTCCAAATTCGTTTCCAAAACTCTCGAGTGACTGTTTCCAACATCTCTTAAAGAGGATTTCACGATAAGGACGGATTTCGAAGAAGAGGAAATTCAAGGCAAGAGGGTACCTAAACTTGTGGAACGATGCGCGCTTCGCAGCGGGGAGGATGCCCTTAGTAGCCCAGCAGAGCCATACCAGCACCGCGTGCTCAG